GATTGAGCCCACAGCCTAGGCATGTTCCCTGACAGGAATCAAACCAATGACCTCCGGGTGTATGGGACAACAACACACTGGCCGAGCTGTACCTTTCAGAGAGAGGAAGGGAGAGGGAAAGAGAAATAGAAACATCAATGATGAGAGTCATTGATTGGCTGCCTCTTGCATGACCCCACGGGATCGAGCCTGCAACCCGGGCATGTGCCCTGACCGCGAATTGAAGCTCGATCTCCTGGATCATAGGTCAATGGTCAACTACTGAGCCATGCTGGCTGGGCTGTACCTCTTTTCTTTAATGAAGCAAATGTACTTCAAAATACATCTGTGGGTATTCTTTGCCCGGCTGCTTCTCAGCTCAGCCAGACTCCTACAGTCTTACCTAACCATCACAATCCCCTTTTCATAATTACTGCATCAATCTGTGCATTCCAATCTGTCCACATACCCCCAAATTATCTCCTTGTACCAGGAAATTCTTGTTGCTACATCTTTCTCTGATCCTAAAGAGTCCTTCCTGTGCTTTGCCCTCACTACCATCCATTTTTCTTTTAGTGTGGAAAATAAGGACAGCTCTAGAAAGAAAGGGGAAGCAGAAAGTGCGTCCAGATGTGATTCAAATACTTCTCAGCAAATGAGTGTGATACTGCCCTGCTCCAGCAATAACCCTAAGTAGCAAAGTCGATCCCTGCATAAGGGCTCTGATTACCTTCCTCAGGATGGTGATGCTTAAGTTTATACACTGTTCACCTGATAAATGTGTGCTGCTCTGGTCAGAAAAACTTTTATTAGGTAGTGTTTGTCTTTAAAGCAACATATTTGAAGTAGGAAAGGATGGCTTTTAATCTTTCTAGTTTTATTGTCCACATTACAGCACCCATGTTTTGACATAATTACTAATACTTTTAATGTGGTGTTTAAAAAGTCGCAGGTTCCACAACTAGTATTTCTAAATGACCAGGTCTGTTATAATGTGGAAACATTAGTAATATGGGTTGAATAGACTATGCCTGATAGACTTGATCATCTTTCAAAAAACCCATCTCAACCATCACTTCTGTGAAGCCTTCCTTGACATTCATAGGGAAATCAGGCAGAGCAGCAGCTCTTTGGGGGTATTCCCTCCAAGCTCCTAGGTTCTAATTATCCCACCTCTTCCCTGTAGGTGGTAACTGCCTTTACAATTGTTTCTGGATTTTCCCTATAGGTGGTAGCTGCCTTTTACAGTTGTTTCTGGATTAATTTATTAGTGTTCCATGTTGGCTCTTACAGTCCTCTAATACTCAGGAATGAATTCTCTGTAGTAAACCTCCTCCCTTTGAATTACCTAGTGTATTTCTGTTTTTCTGATTAGACCCTAACTGATGAGTACTTGGTAGCAGGGGAGATCCAAAGGAAGAAACTCAAACAGCGTGCTTCCACCAAGGGACACAACAATTGACTGAAGAAATTGAGATTACCACCTGGTCATTTGGGATCCCCCAGGCTACTGAATGAGCAGGCAAAGATTCAACTGACTGAGGTGATTGATCCTAATTATCAAGGGGAAATTGGTTGCAGCTACAAAATGAGTGCACAGGCCTTTATTTGGAGCCTGGGAATTCTTGAGTTTGGGGGTGGGGTGCTCTTAATACTCCCATGTCCAAAAATAAGCTTTGTACAGTGGCACCTTGGTTTTCGAACGTGTCCGTTGACGGACATTTCGGGTCAGGAACGCTGTAAACCCGGAAGGAAATGCTTCGGTTTCCAACGTGCCTCGGAAGTGGAACAGGCCACGCGGAAGTGGAACAGGCCACACGGCAAGATCTGGAGGCCCGGCTGTCGGCTGTCAGTCCCTCGGTTTTCGACCGTTTCGGAACTTGAACCGTCTTCCGGAACGGATTACATTTGAAAACTGAGGTACCACTGTAGTTTAAACATCAAATTCTCAAGGAATTTTGATTTGAGTAGAAAAGGCTTCAAAATCACCCAGAGGATGGATACATTTACTATTGGGACTTTGCTTCTTCCTTTTTGGGGAGAAAATAAAGAGTACCTTCATTTGTATAAAGGATAGTTCCATCTAATTAGATGGAAGCTTGAAATAGTTATTGTTGTTTTATGGAAGTTCAAATGTGTGTCCTAAATAGCCAAAGTGGTGAACTGGGCCAGCTGCTCAGCTAATGTCTCTCAACTCAGAATTTACCCTCTTATTCTCTTCTCTGTGATACTGGGTTTCAGGCTTTGAAAACTTATTCCCCAGACTTGCTGCTGGATTTTTTTTTAGTTCTGCCATATTGGAGGATGGAGGGGAGAAGGATCCTGTTTATTCTGTCAGCATTGTTTCTGCAAATGCAGGTTATCTCCAGTAACAGTGGTTGGCTCCAGGCTGCAGTGGCCCAGCCCAGAACCAGACTTGTCACACTCCCTCAGAAGTAGCAGCAGCAGGGGTGGGCTGGGGGTGCCCTCAGAGGTCCGAGCAGCAGCTGTACAAGGCCCTCCTGATAACCCTGCCTTTTGTACCTTAGCCCTGGAGTGGCAGCAGCATCCTACAGTGACTCCTTACGACTTGCCGCAGTGCTTTGACTTTTTCTGTCTTATGATACATAATCAAATTCCCTGTACTGAATTTTCTCTGTTGGAAATACATAATGTGATTTACACTTTCCTGACTAGGTCCTGACTGAGAACGTGTTGTAAGTGTACATTTTCATTTTAAAGTGAATTTTTGTGTCTTTAAGGGATGTTTAAAATTTTTCCTTATCTTGGTTTTAAATATTTTTTAGTAATTCCTGGGCATTTTCTACATTGTTGATCTCTTTTATAAATAGAGCCTGTTAAATTTTTTAACAATCTGGTTGATGTTTGCATATATGACGTGATTGTGTTTGTGTAGATTATTTCCCTACTATTTTACGGAACTCTTTGTCATGCATTTCAGCTCATTTGTACACCTAGAGAACTTAAGGGGATCAGAGGTTATCGTTAACCACTTTCTTTTTAATTCTTATACTTCTCATTTTTTGTCAATTGTTTTGGCTGATTCCTCTAATACATCCTTGTCTTGTTTCTGACGTGTCCAGTGTTTCTACCTATTAAGTAAGGTGCTAGATTAGGGGTGAGATAAATATGTTTTTATTATAGCAAGGAAGTATCCATTGATTCCTGTTTTGCTTTGTTTTCCCAAAAGATTGAATGTTGAATCTTTTTTTTTTTTTTTAAATTTGTCTTTATTGATTTCAGAGAGAGGAAAGAAGAAGGGAGAGAAGGAGATAGAAACATCAATGATGAGAGTCACTGATCGGCTGCCTCCTGCACGGCCCCAAACCGGGGATCGAGCCTGCAACCCAGGCATGTGCCCTAACCCTGGGAATCAAACCACGATCTCCTGTATCCTAGGTCGATGCTCAACCGCTGAGCCACGCCTGGCCAGGCTTGAATGTTGAATCTTATTAAATACCCAACATCTATGGAAAATGATGGTGTAATTTTCCTTTTCGCGTCTATTTATGTTAGCTGATTACCCAGTTTTGAGCCATCTTTCCATTCTTAGAATAAACCCTGTCCGAATAATGATATAATTTTGTCCTTGTTAGATTGTTTGCTAGTATCTTTTTTAGGGCTTTTGCTTCCAGATTTATGGGATACTTTCTTTTTCTTCCTATTCTTATTTATTTTTGGTACAATCTTTGCCAGGTTTTAAAATCACTATATAATCACTTTGTAAAAATAATTTGGAAGTTTTCCATTTACTCTGGAACAACTTAAATAGTTTGAAATTATGTGTTCCTTAAAAATCTGGTAAAATTTGCCCTGTCCAGTATGACTCAGTTGGTTGGGCGGCACCCCGTCCCATGCACCAAAAGTTTGCCGGTTCCTGGTCGGCACACATGCCTGGGTTTCAGGCTCAGTCCACAGTAGGGAGTGTGGGGAAGTCAGCTGTTCGATGTTGCACTCTCACATCGATGTTTCTCTCTCTCTGTCCCCTCTTCTCTCTCTCAAAATCAATTTTTAAAAATCTGGTAAGATTTCCTTGTGAAACCAGCTGGGCTTGATTTCTTTTGAAGGTAGCTCTTTGATGACTTTCTTCCTTCTACGGTACAGATTTGTTTAGGCTTTTAAAAATCTCTTCTGTGCTCAGTTTATAGAATTATACAAAAAGCCTCTTAAGTGATTTTTTTCAGGTGTACAACATAATGATTTGATATATGAGGGTAGGGCAAAAGTAGGTTTACAGTTGTTTGTATGGAAAATAATAATTAATTATACAAGAATAAACTCTGTTGCCTGGCCGGGTGTGGCTTAGCGGTTGAGCGTCGACCTAGGATCCAGATGATCGGGGTTCAATTCCCCATCAGGGCACATACCCAGGTTGCGGGTTCAATCCCCTGTTGGGGTGCATGTGGGAGGCAACTGATCAATGTTTCACTCTCACATCCATGTTTCTCTCTCTTCTTCTTTCTCTAAAATCAACAAAAGCATGTCCTCAGGTGAGGATTAAAAAAAAAAGATAAAACTCTGTTTTGAGTACTCACAATTTGTAAACCTATTTTGCCTCACCCTATATATATTGTGAAATTATCACAATAAGTTTAGTTAACATCCATCAACATACAGTTAGAGATTTTTTTCTTATGGTAAGAACTTTTAAGATCTACTCTCTCAGCAGCTTTCAAATATGCAACACAGTAGTGTTAACTGTAGTCAGCATGCTGTATGTTTTACCCCTATGTCTTATTTTAAAACTGGAACTTTGTATCTTTTGACCACATTCACCCATTTTACCGACCCCCCCACCTCCTCCTCTGGCAACAACCAGTCTGTTCTCTGTATCTGTGAAAAAAATTTTTTTTAATGATTCCACATATAAGTGAAACCATATAGTATTTGTCTTTCTCTGACTTATTTCACTTAGCAATGCTATCAAGGTCTATTCATGTCACAAATGGCAGGATTTCCTTTTTTTTTTATGGCTAAATAATATTCCCTTGTGTATATAGACCACATTTCTTTACCCATTTATCCATTCATGTACACGTCCATGTATTGGCTATTGTAAATAATGCTGCAATGGATTTGGGGGTGCAGATATCTTTGAGTTAGTGGTTTTGTTTCCTTCAGATAAATTCCCAGAAGTGGAGCTGGATCACATGGTAGTTCTATTTTTAATTTTTTGAGGCAACTCCATACTGTTCTCCATAGTGACTGCACCAGTTTACATTGTCCCCCTATGGTGCACAAGGGTTCCCTTTTTTCCATGTCCTTGCCAACACTTATTTCTTGTCTTTTTGATGATAGCCATTCTGTCTCACTGTGGATTTGATTTGCACTTTCCTGATGATTAATTATGTTGAGCACCTTTATTACGTACCTGTTGATCATCTGTTTGTCTTATTTGGAAAATTGTCTATTCAGGTCTTCTGCCCATTTATTTGTTATTGTTATTGAGTTATATGAGTTCTGTATATATTTTGGATATTAAACCCTTACCAGATACAGGATTTGCAAATATTTTCTCCCATGGCATAGGTTGCCTTTTCATTTTGTTGATGGTTTCCTTTGCTGTGCAGAAGCTTTTATTAGTTTGATGTAGTCCAAATTGTTTGTATTTGCTTTTGTTGCCTTTGCTTTTGGTGTCATATCCGAAAAATCATCAAGATCAGGGAGCTTACTGTTTTCTTTCAGGAGTTAAATGGTTTAAGATTTTATGTTCAAGTCTTTAATACATTTCGAGTTAATTTTTGTATATGATATAAGATAATGGTCTAGTTTCATACTTTATCATGTGGCTCTCCAGTTTTCTCAGCACCATTTATTTAAGAGACTATCCTTTCCCCCATTGTATATTCTAGGCTCTCTTGTCATAAATTAATTGATCATATATGCATGGGTTTATTTCTGGGCTCCCAGTTCTGAGCATTAGTCAATTTGTCTTTATGCCAATACCATACTGTTTTGAATATTATAGCTTTATAATATAATTTGAAATCAGGGAGCATGATTCCTCCAGCTTTGTTCTTTCTCAAGATTGTTTTGGCTAGTCAGGCTCTTTTGTGCTTTCATACAAATTTAAGAGTTTGTTTTATTTCTATGATAACTGCCATTGGAATTTTTATACAGATTGTGTTGAATCTGTATATTGGTTCATGTAGTATGGACATTCTAACAATTTTAGTTCTTCCAGCCCATGAGCACAGAATATCTTTCCATTTGTTTGTGTTGTCTTCAGTTTCTTTTAGTGATATTTTAAATTTTGTTTTTGTTTCTTGATTATTTCCCCCATTGTAATTTTCTATTTTGTGTGTTTATGCTTTCTCCCTCTTATTCCATTTGTTGGCTAGTGGCTTCTTTTCACTGATCTTTTCAAAGAACCAGCCTTTTTATTTATTTATACTAATTTTTGTTTGTAACTCAATTCTGCTTATCTTACTTGTTTTCTATTTTATTTTCTAACCTTTTGAGTCACATGCTAAAATTTATATTTTCAGTCTTTGATTTTTATTGATAAATTTAAGGCTATTAATCTTCCCTCTGGGTATTTGATTATCTTATGATTCTGCTATACAGTGTTTTTATCATTTTGTTTTCTGGGAGTTCTGCAATTTTATTTTGTATTTTCTCTTTGATTCAAGAATTGTTTAATAGTTAAAATTTTTCTTGGTTAAAGAATTTTTTATTTTCTAATTTCATTAATATATTTTTATGTCATTTTCAGATTTTTTTTTCTGTTTTAAATATGTTTTTATAGATTTTAGAGAAGAAGAGAGCGGGGGGAGAGAGAGAGAAACATCGGTCAGTTGCTTCCCATGACTGGGGATCAAACCCACAACCTGGGTGTGTGCCCTGACCAGGAATCGAACCATTGACCTTTTGGTGCATGGGACAACATTCAGCAAACTGAGCCACACCAGCCAGGGGGAGAATTTTTTTCTGTATTAACTTTTTGGGATTTCTTGAGGTTTTCTTTGTGGCCCAATATATGATCAGTTTTAATGAATGGGTTTTCAAAAAGCATGTTTATCTTCTGAGTACAGAGTTTAATACATAACTGGAAGATTGCCTGTTCATTATATTGTTTTGGTTTCTTTTTATCCTCTTATTTTTCTTGATTTCTTGTCTATTTTTTGTGTGTTCCTGTCTATTACTCCTTTTATAAGTCCAGTAGTCTTTGTGAAAGTTGATGGCATGTTATTTGGTGCATAGATAATCATAACTATTAGGGTTGATCTTAGCTTTATAAAGTGTCTTTCATATCATTCAGAGCTTTTTGTCTTGAATTCTCTCTTGAGTTATATTAAGTTGTGTCTCCTGATATCTTTTGCTTGCCTATTATACCTTAGCTCATGCTTTTATAATATATAACTTTTCTGAATTACTTTGTTTTAGGTGTATAGTTTAGGATATAGCATAGAATTGGGTGTTGCTTTTGATTCAATCTGAAAATATTTTCTTTTTCTAAATCACACTTTTGCCATTCCTGATATGTCTGCTATATCTGGTCACAAATATATCATATTGTCTTATGGTTATATTTTAAGTCTTTTACCATGTGGTATATTTTCTCTTCTCTTGTTTTTGTACTTTTGCCCTTCAGCCATTTTTATTTCAGGGGTTTGTTTTTATTCATGTAGCTTTTTATACACCCTGAGTCCTCCCTTTCTTGCTTTGGCTCTTGCAATGGAGTATACTCACTAAGCCCTGTGCGATTATCCCACAGTGAGTATACAGCTGTAGGACCAGGGTGTCTGGCTGAGAGCACCAATAAGAAAGAGGGAGCATCTGGAATCCAAATGATTTGTCCTTCACAAGGATCTAGATTCTGGGTGAAATATTTAGAGGTGGCAACTACTGCTCTGAAAAAAGAAATTATTTCAATTCTAAATCAGAACATTTTTGTAAGCATATTTCTAATAAAGCTATAACTTCTTTATGAGAAAATTTAAATCTTACATGTTCGTCAAAGCCTTCTCTTCTGGCTTGTTCAGCCAAATCTCTGCCTTTCTCACTGAGAATATAAAATAAAAATTAGAGGCATATGTCAGTAAAAAGAGAAATGCCAGCATGAATTACAATCAGATTTATAGAAAGGATCTGAATTGCATTTCTTTTCTTTCTGGTAACACTAATTATTTGGAAAATGCAGTCATTAATAAGTTACCCAGAGGATCACATCTTTAGCTATAAAAAAAATGTTTATATTATGTCCCATTGTCAGAGGTATGGGTTGGGGAAGCATTTTGACAACAAAATGATTCAATAAATAAGTATATTCTTAATATTTTGTGTAAATATGTTTTTATTTCAGTAGCTAAATAAATGCACTTAATGTAGACTAAAATTATTTCAGTAGTATGGGGTGCCTGATGTTACTTTTAAATTAACTTAGCGTTTCAAGATACTCTCAGAAATTAGGAGGCACTACTGGATATATTAACATATTTAGAGTCATCACTTTGGATGGTGGTGGTTTTGCCATCCAAAGTTTCTCATACAATAAAGAGATTTAAAATAGTAAATTAAAAATTTAAAGCCGCCCGGCCGGGCGTGGCTCAGCAGCTGAGCGTCAACCTGGGACCCAGGCGATCGGGGTTCGATTCCCAGCCAGGGCACATGCCCGGGTTGCGGGCTCGATCAATGACTCTCTCATCATTGATGTTTCTATCTCTCTCTCTCCTTCTCCTTTCCTCTCTCTGAAATCAATAAAGATATTTAAAAAAAAAAAAAAAAAAGGT